CCCAGTCTCCCTCCTTCTGTGTAAATAAGCCATTTAAATTTAAATAATCAATCCATGGAGCATGGATTGTTTATTTAAAATATTTAAAGTATTTTAAAGTATAGTAAAGTATTTAAATTGTAGAGAAGAGAAGTGTAGCAGGACATCATAGGGTTAACCCTTCATGCAACATGGAGCAGAAATTACAATTACACTGTAACAACGGAACATGAAGTTCTAAAACAATTAAAAATAACTTTGAACGCTTTTTATATTTTGTGATTATGATGATTTTTACGATGTGACATACTTTGAATTTTAAGTTGGAAGACGAAAGTCGATCGGTGCATCTGGACACCAAATTAACCTTCACAAAGCTGCAGCAGCTCGAAGGAGAAATGGATATTTTTAGGATTTAAACTTTAACTGGAGAAATTGCATTTCCTGCGAAAATGCAGTGTGACTTTTTTGTTGCTGAAGAACTTGCTGAAAAACAGCTGAAAGTAGGTAAAAACAGCTGAAAGTAGGTAAAAACAGCTGAAAGTAGGTAAAAACAGCTGAAATGAGTTGGTAGAAGCAGAAAGAACACGTTTTCTGAATTTGAAATGAGAAATCATGATCAGAAAAATTAGTAAATTAGCTAAAGAAAGGCTGAAATTAGCAATAATAATAATAATAATAATGTCATCACAACGTCAGCACTGTATGTTTCCATACAACCTTCTTCCTGTGTGCTAGATGTTGTACCCACATCACTGTTTTTAAAGGTGTCTGATATTGTCAGCCCCCATGTGGCAGAATTAATTAACATCTCTCTTTCAACCGGGTCAGTTCCAAGTTTTTTGAAACAAACGATTTTAAATCCGATCTTGAAAAAGCCCAACTTGGACCCCACTGAGCTCTGCAACTACAGGCCAATATCAAAACTGCCTTTTCTCACCAAAATTCTGGAGAAGTTAGTGGCTGGGCAGATGACTACTTTCTTGCAAAATAATAATATTCTTGATAAGTTTCAATCTGGTTTCCGTAAGATGCACTCCACTGAAACTGCCTTATTAAAAGTCTCTAATGACACATTGATGGCTGCAGACTCTGGTCAGGGCAGTGTTTTGATTTTATTGGATCTGTCATCAGCTTTTGACACAGTCGACCACAAAATTATGATACATCGACTGCAACATGAGATGGGATTTTCTGGAACTGTTCTTAAGTGGTTTTCCTCTTATCTGAGCAACAGAACCTTTTCAATGTTTGTTAATAACATACAGTCTAAGACCACTCCGTTACTGTATGGTGTTCCTCAGGGTTCAGTGTTGGGTCCTATTCTGTTCCTTCTGTACATCACCCCCCTGGGAAAGATTATCAGTAGCTTCAGAAATGTGTCTTACCATCTCTATGCTGATGATATTCAACTGTACTGTTCCTTTTATGACTCAGAATTACACAAGTTAGCTGAATTAGTAAACTGTGTTTCCCTTATTAAAGCATGGTTAGCTAACAACTGCCTTCAGTTGAATTCTAACAAGATGGAAACCCTGATCATTGCCCCTGAACAGAAAGTTCCTTGGATTAAACAACACCTCGGTTCTCTGGGCTCCTCTTCTCAG